TGCCAAATGGTTTACAGGGGTGCTGCCTCACCAGCCTTGCTCATGCCTTGTTGAATCTCTGTGAACCTCTTCTATATTCTGGGTCAGAGTGAGCAACCCACTGCACTTCCAAACAACTGATTTTAGTAGACCTCTGCATTTTAAGGCCAGCCAGTCTTGTTAAATCTCTCTGTAAACATAAACCCCAAACAGATCTTTTTAAAAGCCTTTGTAATTCATGCTTTCCATCTGCCCGTCAGACCTCACCAAAAGATTTACTCTGTTGCTGGTTTATTTCCATTTCCTTCTTCCCTCCAAGCATCTGCCCTGCTGTCACAACCCCACACACATCTGCGCAGATCCTACCCATCACATATGCCAACTTCAACAGTCAGCTACTTTCTAAAGACACACATAGCAGATTTGCAGCTATCGAGGGACAGTGAGAGTCTAGGTGACAGTTTTCTGGGAATTTCTACATCATTTTCTGCAACTAGTCAAGATGTATCTTCCCCAGTCATTTCTCATCCATTCTTGTATTGAGAAATAATAATAATCACCATAGAGAACCCTTAACATAATTCTTACTATCTTTACAGTACATTGACAAAGTCCAAAACAACAGTTATGAAAGAAAGGAGGGAACATAAGACAGGAAAAACACCTCCAAACTGACTTGCTGACAAACAGGAGCTCTCTATCACATTAAGACGGAGCAAGCCTCCAATTTTGCCATGGTTAGAAATGCTCGGCAGAGAACCCACTGTGGTTGGGGCTGTTAGTAATGCCTTCCTGTCTCTAAGCATTTCCATCCCTCCCATTTACTTGCTTCCACATGAGCTCTCTGTGAGTCACTGTAAAAACACCCATCACCATTACACTGCTAACCTCTTGCTCAGCCTGCCCTGTGAGCACGCATGTAGCTGAATCTCCCGATCTGCCATTATAACTGAAATTAAGAACTCCTAAATTTCCTTGAAAAAGAAAATACTGCACAGAGCGTCTTCCTCCTCTCCCTTAGCACTGCGTGCAGTCAAATTCTGAAGGCTCCTCCAGGCAGGGCTCTTTCTGGCAGCCTCACCCTTGCCTTTCCCAGCCCCTCCACCCCCACCCGCTGCACTGAGCTCTCCCTTAGCTCTTATAAACCCAACTCCCTGCCGGCGCTGAGCTGCCATTCTGCTCTCGGACTCGCCTCACGGTTACTGCTCAGCACAGGAGTTGTGCAAAGCAAGGCCTTTGGCTACTTTCTACTTTCTACCTTTCTCCTCCTTCCACCAGCACAGCAACTCCCCCACGCATCTCCACCTCCCCCCGCTAAACCCCTCGCACCTTCCCTGGGGCGGACCTGCACTCTTCCCCGCCCCGCACTGATCCCGGCCTGGTCCCAGCACTGACATCGCCCTCAGTAATTCCCAACAAATCCCGAAGCTTCGAGGAGCGGGCAGAGCCGCGGCGGGATCGGCCGCGGTTGTCGGTACGGGCTGCTCCTGCCTGTAAGCGTCGTGTGCCGCGCCGAGCCATGCGGTACCATGCAGAGCCATGCAGTGCCAACGTAGCGCCGAGCCGTGCCGTGCCATGCGGTGTCACGCAGTACCATACAGAGCCGTGCAGTGCAGTGCCACGCAGTGCCCATGTAGTGCCGTGCCGAGCCGAGCCGAATTGTGCCATGCAGGGCAGTGCCCTGATATGCAGTGCTGAGCCATGCAGCGCCGAGCTGTGCCTTCAGTTCAGTGCCCGGCAGCACGTTTGGCCCTCAGGCCAAGAGAGTTCCTTCAGTTTGGCTTTCCTACTTACGCAGAAATGCAGGGAGCTGGTTGATGGGACAGCTTTTAGATGAAAACGACTGCCAGCATTCATTTTTTCTTTTTTTCTCTCTCTCTTTTTTTTTTTTTTTTTTTTCCCTGAATGAGAAGCTCGTTCAATGTATAAATTTATTTTGAGTTTTGTGTCTCTTTTCTTCTAACTCAGACCCAGCAGTGAGTTTTCGTTCTTCCTCTATTAGAAAGGTGCATAGGAGGGGGGAGGAAGGATGCTGGGAAAGAACAGTAACGAGAAAATAATGTTTTTTTGCAAAAAAAAAAAAAAAGAGCTGGCATTTCTGGTGGAACCTAGATGAAATGAGGTGGACATCGCAATGGTCCTTCATGTGTCTTCATGGACACTAAAAGCGGCAGAGAGCCGCGGAACGGCCGCCGGGCTCCAGCAGCGCCGCTGCCGTCCGGGATGCACGGAGCCCCGGGGCCGCCCTCGGGCTGCGGAGCTGCTCCTCCTCGGGGTCCTCACCTGCTGTTCACATGGAGACATAGGAAATGCTTTCGGGTCGTCGTTGTTCTGGCACGGGGATGATTGCTGCAGTTGCTATGGGGATGTTATGGCAGCACGGGTGGTGCACTCTACTTAAGGACAGGCAGAGGTGTCCCTTCTCCCGGGGAACGTGACTAGTCGGTGTGCGGCACGGGTCCGAGCTACGTGCTCCCACCTCGGGAGCAGCCCGGGACAGGGACGCACCGCTTGGGGAAACGAAGGGGACGCGTCCCGCGGAGGTAGCGGGGTGAGGGGACGGGGAGAGCCGCTCCCAGCCCAGCTGGGCGCTGCGCAGAGCCTCGGACGGAGTGCCGGACAGAGCCGGAGGGAAGCGATCCCCGGCCCTCTTTACCCCTGCGTGGGGACGCGGCTTTGGCGCAGGGTGGGACAGGAACGGCCCCAGCGGCTCGGAGCTGCTGCCGGCGGCCTGCCGCGAACGGGCACCGAGCGGTTCATTTTAGGTGAAGGAATGTCATTTCGCTACTAAATGGTTAGTCTAATTTGATCTTTATTATGCTGTGGATTAGGGCTGATTCATATTAAACACTGCAGCAGTTCATGTAACTGCGGAACGTGTCTCGCTGTATGTACAGCCGCCTCCGTCCCTGAGACCGCCGGATTAAGATTTAATTAACAGCGAAGTTTACGAGCAGCCGCCGGCTCACAAATAATTGATAGGCGATTCCGCGGATTTTTATTCAAGTGACGGCATTTTATTTCACTCTGAAAGAGCGCTGAGTAGTTGATGGGTGCCAGAGGCTTCCTTATGCGGATCTCCAAACTCAAGGTTGTGGGATTTTTGCGATGCCCACAGGGAGTGACACCCATAGGGACTCACCCCCTCCTCCTCCTCCCCCCGTATAAGAATTAATGGTTGTGATCCCCAGTTGCCGGCTCTACGAACCCGAGCCCAAGACACGGCAGTTCTGGTAACGCCCCACTCTGCCACCGCCAAGGCCCTTTCTTAGAGCCGGGTTAAACCACCAGCCCCCCAGCAGGGCTCGAACGTAGCTCTTTGCGGCCCGTTCATGGCTCTGAGCAAGGAAACTCATCCTACACTAAGTCAGCCGACCGACACAAAAAAAAAAAAAAAAAGCAAAGTTTATTCGGATGCTCAAAGTCCATCTTTTTTTTTCTTTCTTTCTTTCCTTCTTTCTTTCTTTCTTTCCTTCTTTCTTTCCAGTCTAACTTAACCCCGGTGCTTTATAGCCAAACAGACAACTCCTTTTCCAATTAAAGTGGAATTAGGAAACTCAATCAAATTAGCTCACTATTAAAGCCCTTCTTTATTAAACCGTTTTATTGTAGTGATATTAAGTTTCCCCCGCCCTTGGAACACGACACTCCGCAAAGTTTCCCTCTCGATATTGATTTGGCCGCTCCGAGACGGACCGGGGTCAGCAGTGTTTACCGAGGAGCGATCCGCGCTATTGGCTGCTCGGAGGAACGCGAACACCGCGCCCAGCGCACGGGGCCGGCCGGGTTCCTTCCCATCGCCCCCCCCCCCCGATCACCCCGGGGCTCTCCGCAATAAGCGGGGCCGCCCCTGCGCCCCTCCGTGTCATCGCGCAGCGGTAATTGCGGAGCTTTTTGCGAAGGGAGAGTGCCAACAGCGCGGCCGGGACGGGGCTTCCGTACCGATCGACTTGAGGAGCTTTGACAGCCTGAATTCCGCCGGCTCCGAACTCCTCCTGCGGGAGGGATCGTTGTCACGGGCCCGGCGCTCCCTGCCGTGTGGGGCAGGAGAGTCCTGGAGAGCAACCCGCACGCTATTGCAAGAAAAAAATAAAATATTGTTAATAAATAATAGAAAACAAATCATGCACAGCCGGGGGCCGGAGGTGTGCTGCAAATCCACACGTCTGTTGTAACGGCACTTCGGCAATGTCAGATTGTCTGAAAATGACAAAAAAATGAAAGTAGAATATCGGCAAAATAGTTCAGGTATTCGGGGAAACGTCCCGACTGAATGTGCATTGCCGGTTTTATTTCTGCGGGTGTGAATAAGAGCAGAACTGGAAACAAACGCCTTTGACAATGCCAGGTGATAGGAAGTCACTCCCACCTGTACGTTGAGCTTTTATTTGTACATTTTCCGACAGCTTTCTGCTTTAACGATGAAAAACGTAATTAAACGCATTTGTATAAATGTCAAATTCCTTTAAATACTGCGCTCGCCACATGCATTCCCCAAAGCACACCCTCACCGTCTGACAAAGCACTTCCACTTATACCTTTGATTTTTTTAATAGAAAATAACATTTATTTCTATGAAATGGAAACACAGAGTTACCTGTTAGAACAGCAAGAATCGCTACAGCGGAACAAGAAAGCAATGTCCTTGAGATCACATATGGAGGAGGCAATCACCCACCGGCCTCTACGGGCAGCCACCACCGCTCCGTGTGCGCACGGCTCCGGGGCAGGATGGAGGGTGGTGCGGCGGCGTATTTTGGTCTGGAGACAGATTTCGCCTCTACGCCGGGAAGCGTTACGACGCGCTGCCTAACCCTTAGCTTAACGTTAATACCGAGTTCACCTACGAGTTACATTAATAACTTAGATTTCCATTTTATAACATTATACACTTGCTAGTATACATATATATACGTACGCGCGGGGGGAGCAGGCGCCCACACCGCAGATATCCGTGCCTATGGCCATAAGCACGCAGCGGGACCCACGCCCCGACGCTCCCGCGCACACCTCGCGCCGCGCTATTGCTTCTCGGGGTTGTTGTTGACCATGGGCCCGTAGAGCCCTCCGGAGTACACCTGCTCCTTGTGCACGGCGGAGCGCTCCCGCATGAGGTCGCTGAAGGCGTAGTCCACGGGCGGGCGGAAGCCGAGCGCGGGCACGAGGCCGGCGGTGGAGTACGGGGCCATGAAAGCGAGGCCGCGGCCGTGCGCCGAGTAGGCGAGGCGCAGCGGGTTGAGTCCCAGCGGCGCGCCCAGCGGATAGGCGCCGGCTTCGGCCCCGAAGTGCGTGGCGTTGGGCTGCAGCGGGGAGAAGGCGGAGCGGCTGCCCAGCGCGCCGATGGCGGGGGCCATGGCGCCGGCGATCAGCGGGCGGTGGTGGGCAGTGGGAGCGGGCGGGAGACCCTGCAGAGCGCCGTCCCGAGCCCAGCTCTCCTCGGGGCCCTTCTCTGGGCCGCGGTTGTTGAGGATCTGCTCGATGGCCTGCACCACGTCCCCGCCGCAGCCCTGCAGCACCAGCTCCAGAACGCCGCGCCTGTGCGCCGGGAAGACGCGCGTCAGGATGTCGATGGGAGTCCGCTGCCGGCCGCCGGCCGAGGGCGACGGGTCCCGCTCGTCCTTGTCTGCCTCCGAGCCCGAGTCCGAGCCCAGCGGGCTGATGGAGCCCGGGCTCTCCTCGCCCTCCTTCGGCCCTTTGGAGACGGGCGAGCTGAGGAAGGACTCTCCGTCGCCGTTCTCCGAGCCCGAGCCGTGGCGGCCGTCCGGGGAAGAAGTGCCGGGCGCGGACTCCCCGTCGGGGGACGGCGGCTTCCCGCCCGCCTGCTGCGGGGTTGCGGCGCGGCCGGGCAGCAGCGTCTTGGGGAACAGCTCGAACTTCTGCACCTTGGGCTCTGCGGGGCGCGGGGGGAGAAGGGAGGGAGAGAGCGCGTCAGCGCGGCCGCCCGGGGGACGGAGCCCGGCCCGCAGCCCCCCGGCCCGCGGCCCCGTCCCCCCGCGGCGCGGCCTCACCTGAGGCGCCGGCGCCTCCCTCGCCGCCGGCCCCGGCGCAGACGGAGCCGAAGACCTCGTAGGCGGGCCGGGGAGGGATGATGCCGTTGGCGGCGGCCAGGGCCAAGCCCTCGGCGGTGCCGTAGAGCAGCTGCAGCTCGCGGGCCTCGTTCTCCTCCTGCGCCTGCTGCCGGCGCAGCGCCACCTGGGCGGCCATGACGCGCTGCCGCTCGGCGATCAGCGTGCACTTGGCGCACATGCAGTCCTTCCAGCGGCAGTACCGCTTGTGGCCCTTCAGCGCCGACACCACTCCGTGGTTGCGGCACCGCGCGCACTTCGGCGTCCGCGGATACTTCTCGGCCGCCCGCAGCAGCAGCGGCGGGGCCCGCAGCAGGCTCCCGGCCACGCTCACCGGCAGGGTCGCCGCTGCCGCGGCCGCCGCCGCCGCCACTGAACTGGGGGGCACCGGGGGGGGCGCGGCGGGGACGCTGGGCAGCTCCGAACGCAGCTCCATCCCGGCACCCGCCGGCCGCGGCTCCCGCCGCGCGCCCGCCCGATACGGCCTCGGCGCGCCGACCCCGGCCGCTCAGCGCTGCCCCCCGCTCACCCGGCGGGGCGGCCCCGAGCGCATCCCGCCGCGGTCCCGCCCGGCTCCCCGCTCCCCGCTTTAGCTGCGGACACCCTCACGGCACGGCGGCACCTCCAACGACGTGATCTCGCCGACTAAAATCCAGCAGGAATTTAAAAAATGGTAAAAAAGAAAAAACAACAAAAACGCCCCACGAGCCGCCGCACCATGCCAGGCTCGGACCGCAGCCCCGGCCCGTCTCAGGCAGAGGAAGGCGGAGCCAGGACCCCCTTCCCGGGTCGGGTCGGGCCGGGCCGGGCCTGGCCGGCTCCGCTCTGTTCGGCCCCGCTCAGGACGCGTTCGCACCGCTCGGCGCGTGCGGCCCTGACGGCCGGATCTGCCGGGAGAGCGGGAGACCGCGTTCGCCGCCGCGCCGCCACTCGCGCTATTGTTGCGCCCCGCGTTGCCATTAGGCAACATTTGACAACAATGTGGCGCCTGCTATTGGCCAGGGGCGGGAGGCGCCGCTCTGATTGGCCGCCCGACGGGCCCGCCGCGTCCGCCCGGCGGCTGCCAGAGCGCGCCGCGCCCGCGGAGAGTCGGGAGGGTCCGGGGGGAGCGCGGAGCGGGCGTGGGTGGGTGTGCGTGCGTGCGTGCGTGAGTGTAAAGTGTGCTCGATCGCTGCTACCTGAGTTCGATTTTTTTTCCCCTTTAATCCGGTTGAAAATGTAATCGCCTCGCCTACTGCTTGGGCTTCTTACATTTTTTTCCGAATGTCGCTTGTCATAAGGGTGGGGGGGAAATACAGTGACAAGTCAGGCCGAGGTCTCCCTTCCACCTGGAGATCCTGTTCTGTAATAGAATCTAACGACAGCTCTCTCCGTCGATAGGGTATCTACAGACGCCCTTCTTTCTATCTCACTTTCTCTCTCTTTTCTCCCTTTTGCTCTTTCTCTATTTCTCCCTTCTCTCTCTCCCTTTCGTTCTTTCGTTCTGTTTCTCTCTCCCCGTCATCCCGACCCCCCGCCCCGCAGCTGGATGCCGCAGCGCCCGCAGACCCGCAGTGCCGCATCCCTCACTGCCCCGCCGTCCCCATGCCGTTCCGCGGGGTCCGGTGCCGAGCTCGGGCTGGGAGCGGTGCGCCTTTACCATTAACCACCATTAACAACCCCTAACCGCCATTAACCACCATAAATCACCATGAACCACTCCACTTTGACGTCACCCTCTCCGCTCGGGGAGGGGGTAACAGCACGGGAGGTTCGGCGGGTAACGTTGGCTCCCGCTGCCGAGGGCTCGCACCTCCGCTTCCCACGGGACGCCTTCGGGCTCCGCAGCATTTTTTTGCCCCTCGTTCCCAGCCACGCAGCTCCTTCCCTAGAATGGGATCTGGCTGGGAGCTGCTCTGAGCCGCCCGGGGCCGCGCTGCCCACACGGAGCGGGCACGAGAGAAGCGCCTGGCCTCTCCTTGCCTTACTTGCTCTGCTTTGCTCTGCTTTGCTTTGCTTGCCTTACCGTGCCCTGCTTCTCTTCGCATCCCTTTCCCTTGCTTTCCCCTGCACCTTACCCCGCTGCCTCCGGCCCGCCGCCGCGCACTTTCCGCGGAGAGCTGCGGAGGGCCGCTGCAGGGATAGCAGCGCTCGGTGCCGCTCCGCTGCCCCTTCCCTTCTGTCACAGCCCGTGCTTACGAGAAGTACCTCTGCAAAGCAGCGCATCCCTCCAACTTTTGATATTTTTATTACACTTTCATCGTTCTCTTGCTGTTTTTTTTTTATTTCTCTTTACGAAATGAGCACTTTCCCACTGACTTTCCGTGTGTGCAGCTGCCGCCCGCACCCGTGATGTGGGTGTTATAACACCTTTATTTAACACAGCCGTGAAAATACCCGATGTAATTTTATTTGCAAACACTATTTTACCCTCTTGGGAAAATTTCTCCGCTGAACCGATTTCAGTGGGAGTTCGTAGAACTCCATCAGGCAGATGAGGAACATTTAAAATATTGACTTGTGTCGGCTCAGTACGGAGAGAGAGCAGGAAAAAGTCCCCTTTTTCTCCCGGCACTTTGCTGTGGTTTTGCTGTTATTTTCCCGCAGATCCCGTTCCCCCCCGCTCTGCCGCAGCAGTCGATGGCACCGGACGCGGTCCGTTCTCTTCCCACTTCTCTTTTCTTTCAGCTTTGCTATGAGCGAAAGAGCTGAGGTTTTCGTGCCGTTCACGGCGGTTATAAGTGATCTATTTTGGAAATAGCCACGGGGGAAAAAATAAGAAATAAAAGAAAGTCACGAAGCTGCTCAGCAGCTTGTGAGACGCCGCGATTGCTGCTGGAGCCTCACTCTAAGGTCAGATTGCAAACGGCGATGGGCTTTCAGCACCGCGAGCACTGCGCGGCTCCTCCATCCCGGCAGCGCACAGCTCCGGGGCTGATGCACGCGGCGGTGCCGGTGTGAGCTCGGCACGGCGGAACGCAGCGCTCTGCGCTCGGACACCGCTGCGTCCTCCTCTCCTCCGTCCCAGGGCAGCCCTGCAGTCACTCACATCCCCAACGCTTCCCCGGGCGCGGGTTGGTTTGTGTTTGTTTGTTTGCTTTTAAATATTGCTCTTAGTACGAATGAAACACCGAAATACTCAACCGTTGTTTAGAAAAAATATGTATATTCATCGCAGGAATATAGACCGCAGTCCTGGGACTCAGCAACGCCGCAGACGTCTGTCAGAGCTGCCCTGCTCCACCACGACATTTTAACGGGTTCCCACGCCCTGCTCTCTCCGCAGCCCCAGGAAGGCTCCCGGCGGCGGGGCTGCCCCTTACCGGCCCGGCCTGCTTCCCGTCCCAGCGCGGCCCCAGACGACTCCCGAATCCCGCTGCCGCTTCCTCCCAGCCCCAGCCGCCCAAAGTGACGTTTCCAAACGGGTTTCAATTATTCTCGCCGCTTTCGTACAAAGTGTCCCGAACAAACACGAGCCCGGACCCTGACTGTCACTTTTCAGCGGTATTTTAACAGTAACCATTCCTTCCAACGCCTCGGGAGCTCTCACAATCCCCAGACCTGTGAAGCAGGACGAGCGGAGCGCACCTTTGGTTTTATTCGCACAAAACCCGCGTTGGCTGCGGGTCAGCCCGGACACAAAGCCGTGCTTTGGGGCGGTCGGGATTCCCTCAGCCGCGTCCCGGCCCGCAGCGCCGCGTGCGCGTGCGGAAGGGGCCGCTACCCCGCATCCCCTGACGAGGCACGGGGCGACGTCCGGGCACCCCTGGGGTCTGTCTCGAACCGCGGCCCCGAAGACCACAGCGCGGTTCGGCCGCGGCCCATCCGCGGGTCGGCCGGAGGACGAGCGGTCCCGGCAGCGGCTGCGGAGCCGCGCGTGTCCTTCGTGATCCGCTGTGCCGGGTCTGGCAGCCTGACAGCTCGACACAACTCAACATGAGCTTTTTCTTTATCCCCGTTTTATTTCATTATTTTCTTTTTTTTTGAATATTTTGTTTTGTTTTGTTTTGTTTTGTTTTGTTTCTTTCCTCAGTCGGTAATTTAATGCATGTTTTCTGTTTTCCCGCTGTTTATTCCTCTCCTCGCTCCCGCTCGGTTTCCCCACAAACCCTCCCTGTGCACCGCAGCTCCGTGTAAAACTTGGAGAGGGCCGCACGCAGCGGTGCGGTCGCATCTTCCCCCAATTACAGCCGTAAAATCTTAATTAAAAAGAGCGCGGCCATTGGCTGCCGGGCCGGGAAGACAGACACGCACGGCCGGAAGCAGCCCAGAGAAATATAGTTCTCGATTCATGTATTTTCATCTCGTTCTTAGCGGAAGACGGTTTGTAAGTACCCGCTAATGTTGGTGCTCTCGAAGGTTTCAATTGTTCTAGGGGGTTTGCCATTGACTTTTTCATTATTTACCTACTGAATCAAAGTAAGCAAATGCCATCTGTTTCCCTGCTGCTATCATCTTCACTTTTAATTATCCACCCAGCAGCCTAATAGAGATGATATTAAACTAAATCTTTTTGACATTAAAAGTAATTATCCCCAAACCAATATTACACGGATGGAAATTACCCTCCCCCAGCAGGAAGGACGCGCATTCCTCCCGGCCCCGCCGAGTCCCGGTCCCGGGCGGGGCGCTTCGGAGGGGGTCCCGTCGGCCCGGACTTCTCTATCCGAAACATTATTAACTCCATTTCCCCGCTCCCAGTGGGGGAGGAAAAAGAGACTAGGGAGGGAGACTCGTATATGGGAATAAGCTGTAAATCGGGGCTCCACGTCGCCCCGCTCGGGCTGCTGACCCCAGCACGGAGCTTTCGGGCTTTACCAACACCCCTCCCTGCGCTTGCAGCCCGGAGGGAGCCGCTTCTGTCTCCCGACGGTGCAATTGGGGTCGAGGTGCTGCTGCCCAGGTCCGGTGTTACGGAACTGGGAGCGGCCCGCGCTCGGCAGTCCGAACACCGCCGCTTCCACGTGAACTGCGCCATTTCGCCTCCACTTGGCTTTAGCACGAGCCGGAGCCGTGTCCCCCATTTCCTTTAATACGTGCTAAACTGAGCTAATTTTAATTGCAAGTTTCAACTTTGCTAATTAAATAGAGTGGTCTAATTAAAAGTGACTAGGGAACAGTTTTAATTCAACCCTCTACTTAAAAAAAAAAACAAAAAAAAAAACAAAAAAAAAAACCCACAACACAATCCATTATGCAACAAATCCACGGTAAGCCCTCCCTTTAAAAAAGCTACAGCCGATGGAGTTTTTACACCTTTTCACGCGCTGACAATGGGCAGACCTGACCCAACATATGTAGCGGCGGGGCCGACCCCGGCTCCCGGCGGGGCACTGCGCGGGGGCCGCTGGCTGCCGCCGCCCGCCCGAGCGCCGAGGCCGGGGCTGCGGGTCCGACCCGGCGGCGGAGGTTGGAGCGGCGGAGCCCCGAGACGGCAGGCCGGGATTTGGGAAAATC